CACCATTACACACTCTTCGTTATGTACATTAAGGTCAACTCTATGTACAATTGTTTACTTAAAGTGGCTATAAATCTCACTCCTTGTTTAGTGTTCTTGGATAAATACTGTTTGTCTTATGTATAAATAAAACAGCCAACTTCAACGTAAAACACACACACACTCAAACCCTCATTCCTAAACACCTGACTTAGCTTATAACTGGAGTGTATATATTAAACTGATTCTAAACCTTCATAAAATCCCGTCACATTTCCCACTTGAACATAAGCCTCTGCCATGATAACTCTGGACGCTGTTGACGAATACCATGAAAGAGGTGACCACAATACTTAGTTCCTTATGTGTATTACTGACTCGCCTCTAAGCTGGGATAGAGATACAATACATAAAAGATAAAATTAACAATGTGGGATTTAATATTTTACTTATCATTTGATCATAATAAGAACATTAACATACATTTACAACATATAAAAAACCTCCATATATATAGGACCTCTCTCTCTCTCTCTCTCTCTCTCTCTCTCTCTCTCTCTCTCTCTCTCTCTCTCCATAAAATGTTAGTTGAGGGTTTGACATCTAACGGACCCTCGATATAATGGACTTTCATCTCTATAGAGTATCACTACTTGGAGGTTTCACATCTAATATACCATCGATATAACGGATTCTCCTCTCCCTATAGTCCGCTAAATGGAGCTTTCACGGCTACTTCCATGTCCCTTAATACGTAATGTACAGTTGTGGACAAGTTTCCCTGGACACGTGGTGATATGTTGCATGTAGGTGAAGGAATTAGAATTATATATTATTTTCGCAGTTCTTTCTACAGATCTGACCTATATGAGGACAACCACCATAACTAGAAACTCCAGAAGCATAATTATTGTCAGTTTCAAACACGACAGAAACCACTTCCTTCTCTGTCTGTCTGTCTGTCTGTCTGTTATTGTTTTTCTCTTCCACATAAGCTAAGTCAGTTTCTCTCACAAGCTATCTCGGTTTTATCTTTATTTCTAATTCTCTTCACCCCTCTCTCTTTCTTTCTATTTTACTATCTCTCCTTCTCTCTCTCTCTCTCTCTCTCTCTCTTCCTCTCCTTCATCATGTCTCTCTCTCTCCATTGCTTCTCCATTGTCCATATGTCAGTCTTTATATGTCTGAGAAACTGTCTGTCTGTCTTCTGTTTATTTCTCTCTGAAACTTATATATCTGTCTCCTTTTCGTTGTTTCTGTCTATTTTTCTGTGTGTGTGTGTGTGTGTGTGTGTGTGTGTGTGGTACCCCCTCTATGTGTGAGACGTAGAGGTAATAAGAGTCACTAACATGTGTTTTGGTAAGATATATACTTAATGGTTAGTAACACAGTGTTTCTTACCTGTATCCTCGTGTTATTGTGTTACTGTTGTGTTTGTGTTTGTTGTGTTTGTGTTTCTTCGTTATTGTGTTAATGTGTTAAAGTAGTTTGTGTTTCTATGTAAATGTGTGTTTTGTATTTCTGTGTTTTTGTGTTGCTGGATGTGTTATGTTTGCTGCTGATGCTTATCTAGATTAAGTTCCGTTAAGTTAGATTAAGGTTAAGTTAGATTAAAGTGAAGTCACGTCACTTTAGGTTAGGTTAGGTTAGGCCCCATTTGTTCAATCATCTCACGTACACAATGCCACGAACCTAACCATACACACTAAGCGACAATACCTTCTCGTCTCCATCCATTACCCATTTTTCTACGGTAATTTACTCCACTGGAAGTCAGGGGGAGAGAAAAACTCAATAAATTAGGCTTCAAAGAGCAGGTGGAGGGGGGAAAGAGGGGGGGCATAAATCCCGGGTGAGTGTGGCCCCGTGGGGGATGGCGGAACGTGACCTGCACACACAAGTGGACAGATACCCGGGGCCACCACTACTACCCGGGGCCCCCATTACTACCAGGGGCCACTACCACTACCCTGATCCCTGGTGACACAAGTGCCACTTCCTGTGTTACTGCTACTACTACTACTACTGCTACTACTACTACTACTACTACTACCACCACTACTACTACTACTACCCTGGTCACTTATGATACTGGTGCCACTACTCGGGGCTCTTGTGATGTGAGTGCCACTTCCCGTGCTGCTAATTTACCAGTCTTAAACGACACTAAATCCCACTACCCTTATCGCCATTTCCTCACTCACTCACGACACTACCTCTAGTAACCCAGTCGTCCCAGAGGTTGTCGTTACTACCTCCAACCACCACTACTACTCCTTAACCACCATTACCACTACCCTAATCCACCACTACCCCACCAGTCCTCCTTGTCACTATTAAACCATCTCTCAACAAACTACTGCCACTAACCACCACTACCCCAATACTACACCCCACTTTATCGCCACTTAACCCTCAGTGCCATTACTCCTGCACCCCCACAGTGCCATTACTCCTGTACCCCCACAGTGCCATTACTCCTGTACCCCCACAGCGCCACATTCTGTACCCCCAGCACACCCTGCACCCCACAGTGCACACATTCTGTACCCCATTAGGTGCCATTACTCCTGTACTCCCACAGCAAGCACATTCTCCTGTACCCCACAGTGCCACATTCTGTACCCCCACAGTGCCATTAATTCCTGTACTCCCACAGTGCCATTACTCCTACCTCCCCACAGTGCTATTACTCCTACTCTCCACAGTGCCACGTGTTCATGTTCATATCTTGTTATTGTTTAGAGTTATGACGCTGGTGACACATTGCGCTCCCCCAAAAAATGTGCTGCATGTGTGTTTTATGACCTGGCGGGTGACCTCTGACCTTGACCTGCATGACCTAGTTATTACTTGACTTCTGACCTTGATCTACATGACCAAGCTACTACTTGAACTCTGACCTTGACCGACATGACCTAGCTACTACTTGACCTCTAAGTACAAGATCTCTTTATCACCTGACTCTTGACAACATGACTGAGACCTATAACCTCCTGAGTATGATAATTAACCCCTTGAGTACGATAATTAACCCCTTGAGTACGATAATTAACCCCTTGAGTATGATAATTAACCCCTTGAGTACGATAATTAACCCCTTGAGTACGATAATTAACCCCTTTAGTATGATAATTAACCCCTTGAGTACGATAATTAACCCCTTGAGTACGATAACAACCAAAACACATAAATGACACACACACACACACACACACAGTCATGAACAAGATATTCACAATAATTATATAGACCTGAATCAACATACAGGTAAATACTTATGCATTTATACCTCAATTATATATTTTTTACGTTCATTTACACTTACGATGTAAATAAAAGTCTGTAAAATAATTTCCAGTTAGTTAAAAAAAGACCTTTCAATGTTTATTTATTTTTCGTTGAATGTTTTATACTTTGTTTATTTTGCTGATTATCACACACACACACACACACACACACACACACACACACACACACACACACACACACACACACACACACACACACACACACACACACACACACACACACACCCTCTCATCTACGTCTATTTCGCCTACTCTCCACCCCATCCCCATATCCTCCGCCTCTTCTACTCCCTCCACCCACCTACGTCTAACCCTCCACCCTCTTTATCCACCTCCACTCCATTTCCACCCTGACACCATACTCTCTATCCCCATCATCTTCTTCCCCACGTCATCCATCTCCCCGCCGCCCACCTCCTGGGGTATGGGTGGGTGAGCCCATGACTTGCCAGTAAACAACACACTGAGCTGTTTTTACGCCTTACAAATCCGTGTCGGCTATTACTAAGGTCCCCCCAGGCTGTGTGACACGCATACTGACTGACCAGGGGGTGGGAGAGGAGGGTGGGGAGCATACTGACCAGACCAGGGGGTGGGAGAGGAGGGTGGGAGAGGAGGGTGGGAGAGGAAGGTGGGAGATGGTGGAAGGACGTGGGAGATAGTAGATGAAGGCTGGAAGAGGGAGCAAAATGAGGGTGGGAAAGGAAGGAAAAGGAGGGTGGGAGCGGCTGAGAGAGAGAGTGAGGACGGGTGGTGGTTCAGGAGAGGTGAGGGTGGGAGCGGCTGAGAGAGAGTGAGAGACAGACGGTGGCGATGGGAGAGACTAGAAGAGAGTGGGACGGGAGGCTAGACGTGTGTAGGAGAGGCTAGACGTGTGTAGGAGAGGACGGGTAAGAGGAGGTGACGGTAGTAAAGGAGCAGAGATAGAAATTAAATGATGCTAATTTAACGTATCGTATGTAGTTAAATTTGACGCATTGTAATATTAATTTTATATATGAAAGTCAATTTTGTGTTATAGTTTAAGTCAACCAGCTGGGTACATTCGTATATCTTTAGTTATGAGCAACATTCATCCTAGGAACCTTTATAAATCTGCCCCCTTGCTGGCGAGTGTTTACCTTACCCGGCTGTATACGAGGTAAGATGGCTGTTGTTAGATATATACCACGAACATGATGGCCACATCACTCATATTATTTTTCTTTTTGAAAACTGACGAACCGAAATCTGTAAATTAACCTAACCATACCTGACGATCCTATATATTTATTTTAAGTTAGGATAAGTGTTGTAGGCCTGTTTCACTTGATATACAAGTAGTTTTAGCTTTCGTGTTCACGATTCCTTCTCAACACTGAGAATGTTGGTTTCCCCGGACTAGGTACAGTTTCCTCCACATGAACGTACCACAGCCTGAGACTGTGTTAGGGCTCGGGTACGAGATGTAGCAACGCAGGTCTATAGTCAGGAGCTGAATGAATGGGCGTGAACCATTGAAATTACCTCGCTTGCGTGGCCACACATCAATGCTGAAGAACGCTATCACATGGATGCTTTCCTTGTTTATGTTATGCAGCACTGTTATGTAGCCACGACCGAGTGACTAAGACTGAACTACAGGGGACCAGCAAACATATTAATCCAAAGTTTCAATCACAGACTACGTTCATGTGGCGGTGTGTCCATAACTATACAGACGACACTTACTTGAGGCGGTGATTGTCGCTCCTCTGGTGGTGAGAGGCGGAAGCTGACGAGACAACACTCGATCTGTTGAAAAGAAATTCGATTTATTTAGTGAAGGAACTTTAGTGGTAACTATTGTGGTTAATTGAATGGATAATGGGGGTAGGAATTAAGGGACAGTCTAAGGGTTAAGGGATAAAGGGTAAGGGTTAAAGGACAACGGGTAAGGGTTGAGGGATAGGAAAAAGGGAAACATTAGCTTATGGGATAGACAAGGTTAAGGGCCAAGCTAAGGGTCAAGGGATAGGTTAGGGTTAAGGGATAGGCTAAGGGTTAAGTAGCAGGATAAGTGTTAAGGGATGGGCTAAAGGATAAGTGTTAAAGCCCAGACTAAGAGATAAGGGCCAGACTAAGGTATAAGGCCCAAACCAAGGGCTAAGGGCTAGAATAAGGGTTAAGGGCTAGACTAAGGGTTAAGGGAGGAGGCAACAAGTAGACAAAAAAAGATCCTTGCGAGGCTGATGGATTCTTGCCGTGATATACTATTGAGTGTGTGAATACTAAGTAGGTCTCACAGAGGTTATGCGTGTGACCAAATAAAAATATACAGTCACAGTGGTCTTACATTAACCCGGAAATATGACTGCGGGAACTTCCAGGAAATGAAATAATCGAGAAAATTCTTCATCTAATCCTCACTGGCACGCGATAGGAGGTCGCAGGAATCGACTGGTCAATCTGAAACGACCTTTGATGTCCTTTGTGTGGTAATTCTAGGGTATAATAGTCAGTACTGGCATGATCCTTAGTGATTGGAAGCCACCATCACCTAATGACCAATCAGAAGACACTTGTGATATATGAAACAACGTAACTGCCAATCACAAGATACCTTTGTCATTATGATATTGTGGTGGCCAATCATAATCAGACTCTTAAACAACCAATCAGAGGCTTTGATTTACGTGGTGGGGAATATTAGTGGTTGAATAGTCTTGTAGGTCGTTTAATGCAGGGTGGCCCACGGTGGATCACGGCAACACTTCACAACCACCACTACCTCTCTCACGTCTCTTACTAGCATTCACTCTTAACCTCCTTCTTACTCCCTGTCTTCTCTCTCTCTCTCGTCCCCCTGTCTTTCTTTCTCGTTCTTGGTTGATCAGTCTTATTTCTTTCTCTCTCTCATCTCTCTTTCATCCATCACTACATTATACCTTCTATCTATTTATAAAGTTCACCTCTCTCTCTCTCCCCTTGTCATCAACCCCCTCTCTGTCTCTGTCTCTCTCATTCCGTCTCTCTTTCTCAACCCACCAATACTCATGTTTCATAGGTCGGGGGTAAATGAGAGACAATGTCAGGATAATTAAGGGTAATTGATTTTCGATTGGGTGATCAGAGTCCGTAGTTAGTAACATTCTTCAGGTTAACATTGTCCCCTAACTGGTGCTAAGAGAACATATCTAGTTAAGGTAGATTAAGTGTTATTTTGATGCCATTGCAGTATATGTGATGAAATTTGTGTCATCAGTGTTAGTAGAGTGCCATCAGTGTTAGTAGAGTGCCATCAGTGTTAAAAGAGAGTGCCACTCAGTGTTAGTAGAGTGCCACTGTGTTAGTAGAGTGCCATCAGTGTTAGTAGAGCCATCAACAGTAGGTAGAGTGCCATCAGTGTTAGTAGAGTGTCATCAGGTGTTAGTAGAGTGCCATCAGTGTTAGTAGAGTGCCACTGCGTTAGTAGAGTGCCATCAGTGTTAGTAGAGTGCCATCAGTGTTAGTGAGCTACTGTTAGTAGAGTGCCATCAGTGTTAGTAGAGTGCCATCAGTGCAGAGTGCCATCAGTGCAGGTGGAGTGCCACTTCAGTGCTAGTAGAGTGCCATCAGTGTTAGTAGAGTGCCATCAGTGTTAGTAGAGTGCCACTGCGTTAGTATAGTGCCATCAGTGTTAGTAGAGTGCCATCAGTGTTAGTAGAGTGCCATCAGGCAGTAGAGTGCCATTGCGTTAGTAGAGTGCCACTGGTGTTAGTAGAGTGCCATCAGTAAGTAGTAGAGTGCCACGTTAGTAGAGTGTCATCAGTGTTAGTAGAGTGCCATCAGTGTTAGTAGAGTGCCACTGCAGTAGAGTGCCATCAGTGTTAGTAGAGTGCCATCAGTGTTAGTGGAGTGCCATCAGTGCAGAGTGCCACTAAAAGCAGAGTGCCACTGTTAGTAGAGTGCCACTATGTTAGGTGTGAGTGCCATCAGTGTTAGTAGAGTGCCATCAGTGTTAGTAGAGTGCCACCAGCAGAGTGCCACTCAGTGTTGCAGAGTGCCATCAGTGCAGAGCGCCACCAGCAGCAGTAGAGTGCCATCAGTGTTAGTAGAGTGCCATCAGTGTTAGTATAGTGCCATCAGTGCTAGTATGCAGTGCCATCAGTGCGTGAGTGCCACCAGTGTTAGTAGAGTGCCACTGCGTTAGTAGAGTGCCACTCAGTGCTAGTATAGTGCCATCAGTGTTAGTAGAGGCCATCAGTGTTAGTAGAGTAGCCATCAGTGTTAGGTGTAGAGTGCCATCAGTGTTAGTAGAGTGCCATCAGTGTTAGTAGAGTGCCATCAGTGTTAGTAGAGGTCATTGTGTTAGTAGAGTGCCATCAGTGTTAGTAGAGTGCCATCAGTGTTACTAGGAGGCCATCAATTTCACTATAGTGTTAGTAGAGGCCATCACAGTGTTAGTAGAGTGCCATCAGTGTTAGTAGAGTGTCATCAGTGTTGCAGAGTGCCATCAGTGTTAGTAGAGTGCCAACAGTAAGTTAGTAGAGTGCCATCAGTGTTATAGAGTGCCATCAGTGCTAGTAGAGTGCCACTGCGTTAGTAGAGTGCCATCAGTGTTAGTAGGAGTGCCATTGTGTGTTAGTAGAGTGCCATCAGTGTTAGTAGAGTGCCATCAGTGTTAGTAGAGCATCAGTGTGGAGTGCCACTATGTTAGTAGAGTGCCACTGTGTGTTAGTAGAGTGCCATCAGTGTTAGGCAGAGTGCCATCAGCAGTATAGTGCCATCAGTGTTAGTAGAGTGCCATGTTAGGCGCCATCAGTGCAGTAGAGGTCACCAGTGTTAGTAGAGTGCCATCAGTAAGTAGTAGAGTGCCATCAGTGTTAGTAGAGTGTCATCAGTGTTAGTAGAGTGCCATCAGTGTTACTTATAGAGTGCTATCAATTTCATCATAGTGTTAGTGGAGCATCAGTAGAGTGCCACTGTGTTAGTAGAGCACATCAGTGTTAGCAGAGTGCCATCAGGTGTTAGTAGAGTGCCATCAGTGTTAGTAGAGGCCATCAGTGTTAGTAGAGTGCCATCAGTGTTAGTGCAGAGTGCGTCATCAGTGTTAGTAGAGTGCCATCAGTGTTAGTAGAGTGCCATCAGTGTTAGTAGAGTGCTATCAGTGTTAGTAGAGTGCCATCAGTGCTGTAGAGTGCCACTGCAGAGTGCCATTGTGTAGAGTGCCAGTGCAGAGGCCATCAGTAGAGTGCCATCAGTGTTAGTAGAGTGCCATCAGTAGAGTGCTATCAGTGTTAGTAGAGTGCCATCAGTGTTAGTAGAGTGCTATCAGTGTTAGTAGAGTGCCATCAGTGTTAGTAGAGTGCCATCAGTGTTAGTAGAGTGCCATCAGTGTTAGTAGAGTGCCACTGCAAGCAGAGTGCCATCAGTGTTAGTAGAGTGCCATCAGTGTTAGTAGAGTGCCACTGGCGTTAGTAGAGTGCCACTGCAGAGTGCCATCAGTGTTAGTAGAGTGCCATCAGTGTTAGTAGAGTGCCATCAGTGCTAGCAGAGTGCCATCAGTGTTAGTAGAGTGCCATCAGTTAGTAGAGCTACCAGTGTTAGTAGAGTGCCATCAGTGTAGAGTGCCATCAGTGTTAGTAGAGCCACCAGTGTTAGCAGAGTGCCATCAGTGTTAGTAGAGTGTCACTGCGTTAGTAGAGCCATCAGTGTTAGTAGAGTGCCATCAGTGTTAGAGTGCCACTGTGTGTTAGTAGAGTGCCATCAGTGTTAGTAGAGTGCCATCAGTGTTAGTAGAGAGTGCCACTGCGTTAGTAGAGGCCACCATGTGCGCGCCATCAGTGTTAGTAGAGTGCCATCAGTGCTAGGCAGAGTGCCATCAGTGTTAGTAGAGTGTCAATAAAAGTTAGCAGAGCGCCATCAGTGTTAGTAGAGTGCCATCGTGTTAGTAGAGTGCCATCAGTGCTAGTAGAGTGCCATCAAAAGCTAGCAGAGTGCCATCAGCGTTAGTAGAGGCCATCGCGCAGTAGAGCGCCATCAGCGTTACTTAGAGTGCCATCAGTGTTAGAAGAGTGCCATCAGTGTTACCAGAGTGCCATCAGTGTTACCAGAGTGCCATCAGTGTTAGTAGAGTGCCATCAGCGTTAGTAGAGCGCCACTCAGTTTCATCACAGCGTTAGCAGAGGCCATCAGCAGCAGAGAGTGCCATCAGCGTTAGTAGAGTGCCATCAGTGTTAGTAGAGCACGAAAAGCTACTAGAAAGTGCCATCAGTGTTAGTAGAGCGCCATCAGTGTTAGTAGAGTGCCATCAGCGTTAGTAGAGTGCCACTGCGTTAGTAGAGTGCCATCAGTGCAGTAGAGTGCCATCAGTGTTAGTAGAGTGCCATCAGTAGAGTGCCATCAGCGTGTTAGTAGAGTGCCATCAGTGCGTAGAGTGCTACCAGTGTTAGTAGAGCGCTAACAGTAGAGCCATCAGTGTTAGTAGAGTGCCATCAGTGTTACTAGAGTGCCATCAGCGTTAGTAGAGTGCCATCAGTGTTAGTAGAGTGCCACCAGCAGAGTGCCATCAGTGTTAGTAGAGTGCTATCAGTGTTAGTAGAGTGCCATCAGTGTTAGTAGAGTGCCATCAGTGTTAGGCGCCATCAGCAAGTAGGAGTGCCATCAGTGTTTAGAGAGTGCCACTAGTGTTAGTAGAGGCCATCAGTGTTAGTAGAGTGCCATCAGTGTTAGTAGAGTGCCATCATGTTACTTAGAGTGCCATCAGTGTTAGTAGAGTGCCAAAGAGAGTGCCATCAGTGTTAGTAGAGTGCCACTGCGTTAGTAGAGTG